TACACAGAAGACACTTTAGGCTGTGGRCTTAGAGACTTCATTTGTCAGAGATAGAGGCAACTTTTCTGTGTGCTTTTGTAGACTTGGCTAAAATTGTGTCAGAAGATAATCAACACAACTAGGGAAACTTATTTTCAGCTCTAAGAACCTTTTTTATTTTCAAGACATTTAGGTAAAAATGTTTTCACAGAACCCTCTTCCCTGCTTCAACTTTTCATTAAATGAAAAAATAAACAAACTACCTTTTCTTCAGTAGCACAAGGGACTTACAGAAAGGCCTTCTCCAAACATAGAAAAGCCAGGACAAAGATTAGTGCTATGCGAGAGGTTTGTATTTGTTTGAAGACATCAGAAAGATAGAAGTGCCTCAAAAGTGAGAAGGAACATGAACAAGGCATTCCTCAAAGTCATGGCATGGATTCAAATGACATTGAAAATCAGCAAGATGCTTGACTTCGATGTCTTACAATTTAAGTGGAAGGCAGGTTTAGGAGCATAAATTGTATGTGTAAATTTTGTCAACAATAAYTACTGTCACTCAACTTCAGAGATGGGTATCAACACCCACAATGCACAAACAACCCTTAGCATGCATCTAGACTAATGATCCACAAGAGTTTTTCAGAAGAAGTAAAAGGCTACCTTTAACTAAGGAAAGAAACTGTCCAGTGTGACATTCTTCATATTGCATTAAAAATCAAACCCTGAAATACCTTGTCCTTGTAGTTCCACTCCTATTCTTCATCCMCCATCCAGGATTTTGGCTATTATATTTTGAATCTCTGAGCTTTAAAAAGGAGGAATGTTTGCTCCTTGCTGAGTGCATTTGGAGTAGGGCTCCACTCAAGCATATCCCATCTTTCTGTGCTGCTTTCAGCAATCATAAGCAAAAAGGCCTCTCCAATGCATTTAACATTTATAGAAATAGATTGTAAGGACTCTAAAGCATTTCTCCAAGTCTACTCATCATCCAGAGATGATTTAAACAACCTCATCTTTAAACCTATATTTTGTACTCTCATGACATTGCCATCATCCCTAATTTTCATAGTTCCAAGAACAATGCAGGGTGATCTGCATTTAGTAGCACATGGCTTGTAAGTTTATGACAGCATTGCTAATTTACTATGAATATGTAAAATCTTCACTGTCCTAATTAAAAAATGTGATAGATGCATAGGAAAATCTCAGCAAGGAGGAACTCAACAAATCCCTCACATAGCTACATCATAAAAGGCAATAAGAGAAGATGGCAAGAAGTGAAGTTAAGGGGGGCTTAACATAAGATGATGAGATGTTAAGATGTTTATCTTGGCTGACTCATAGCCATCAACAACAGAAACAGCAAAAAGTATTTTGACCAGTCTCCAGGGCAGCAGTTTAGCTGGAGATGCAGAAGAAAAGCACTTGTGTTAAAGAGCATCTTAGTAATGCATTTTGTCACTTAGGTGTGTATTCTGTTCTTCAATATTTCTGATTTTAGGTTGGCACAARCAACAACTTTTTAGTGTTAGCAACTATTCCAAGAGAGCTGACATCTTTTAAATATTCCAKTCTTTCACAGTAAACACATAAGTATGTTCTGCCATTTCAGAAACAAGTGAACAGCAGGACCTCAAGGCTCAGGCAGAATCATTTCACTTTAACCTTTGCTGTAAAAGTACACAAATTGTCAGGTTTCAGGAAAAACCTCTCACAAAGACCATTAGTTTGGCAGGCTCTGGAAGCTGGTAAAGATAATGGAGAGAAAGGCCCTACTGAATCTGCTTGTTTTTTCATCATTACCCCAATTTCTTTGAGGCCCATGAGTTGAGTTCAGGCAAAAATACAAATTTTAAGGAATTTCATTGGACCTCATCCAAATTACCAGACCTCTTAAGCACATTAGGAGGTCAAACAATATGAGAGGAACCACTTCTATTAAACCTGAAACTGCTGTTCATTCTTTTATGCCTGAAAACACCTCCATGAGTTACTCACGGCATTCTGACACTTTCTCACTGGCCTTCAAYTCCCAACATACACTAAAACATACAAGGAAAAAACACAGCTCTTAAGCCACATTTTCCAAGCTTATGAAATAAACTCATTTAAAAAAATCGTATTTCTTTTAACTGGTTTTAACTCCACTTATTAGTAACCACAGTAGAAGCACCGGCTAAAAAGCAAATTCTTGCAAAGACWAATGTTATTGCCTCAGTTAATATTTATTTTGCATTTATCCATAGAAGTACTACATGGAAAGAGTGTGCACATGCAGAATAACTCTTGGCTTCATTATCCTGCTARCTATCAGACAGCATTGCTCATGCACAAATCTTTTGGCATTTAATATTCATAATGCAGAAGCATCTACTGATCCCAGTTAGGATCAACAAATTTTATGAGATGTTGTACAAAACAAAGATTATCATTGTTCAGCCACAAGGTATTCACAGTTGGACAGATTGACAGACTAGCTATTTCTGCACTGTTGTTATGTGAGAAGTGTTTTTTAATCTTATTCTAATCACTCTTAAATGCAAATATGACACTATAGGTAACTCTATGCAGTAATGTAGGGCACTCTTGCAGCAAATGCAGGACAAGGCTGTACTTCAGCAGCTACTGAGGCAAAACAGTTACTTTGTTTTAATAGGGGTTTTTTTTTGTGGTTTGAAGGGGGGCGGGGTTATATTTTCCTTGATCTATTTTATTTCAGAGGGAATTTACATTAGTCAGCCTGAATACACTGTAAAAGATAATTCTTTTTCAGTCCAAAAAGAGTTGGCTAACATTAACAACAATATTCCTTTTGACTGTCCTCCTGATGGAAAGAATTTGACATTTGGTTTCAAGACACAGCAATATTTTTGAGGTGTGACCCTTCTCCAGTACTTCTTTCCACCAAATGAGGTGATATCGCAGTGGTTTGTTTGTGCTTGTTTCACAACACTTACTCTTAACCAATGACAAAAAGGCTTTTCTGCAAGAAGTAGAGGGGTAGAAAAAWTTTTAAATCTCTACATGGCCCTATTGGCCATGATCAACTCCTTGATTCCTTCTTGAGAGGCATGTGAAGAAAGAGCAGGTTACCTTTGARGTGAGTTTAGTATTTAAGAATTCTTTGGGAAAACTGCATTGCTGAGAAAGAACAGCTTTCCCAAGGCTGAGCAGAGAGTTAGATGGGAGCAGAGCTCAGGACTAATGTTTCCCAGTCACATGCGACCGTCAGCTCTCTTCTGTAGCCCTCTAAAGGCCTCTGGCAACCTGAATTCCCCAAATGAGGCAGTAGAGGATGCTCCTTCAAATATCTCCTTGATGCCAAGGATGTTTCTATGGTAATTTTGCATTCAATGTTACTGGTTCGTGCTGCATGAGAGGCTACACAAGGACCCAAGGAAATGAATGAACCTATCTAAGGTTGTGCATACCCAGGGGGCTTCCATAATTTTGGGTGCGCAGAAATACAAAGACGGAATAATGACAATGTTGTGCTGCACTTCATTTGTTGAATTACTTCAATACCTTGCTCACAGATGTGTGCATGTGAATCTAATCAACCAAACTCCTCATAGACAGAAGAGATTATTTTGAGACATTATTCCTGCTTCCGCTACAGAAAAAGAAGCACCAGCCTTTCATAACCTCTTGAAGACAGGGAGGTGTGTGTGCATGCATACAATGCACACATATCCCTCTCTCCATATGCACCAAAATAAAAAAAGTGAGAATAAAAATTTTCCTATATATAGCGCATTRTTCTCATAAAAATGGGACAATTAAAAACAGACCTGCCTTTTTATGCAGAAAAAAACCCACACCAAACCTGTCTGATTGTTTATCTAGTTAATCGATTATATTTAAAAAGAAATAAACAATCCAGAAATAACAGGGGGAAAGGAAAGCTGGCATGATCTGAAAAAAATGATTTTTTTATATCCCTTGAAATCCTGGAACAGAAAACTTTTCTTTACCTTTTCTTCTTGAATCATATTTTGCTTCCCATCCTAAAACAGCACATTCAACTATTCAATTTGCTGTTCAATAATAGTGACTAACATTGCCTTTTAAATGCATACAAAAAAGTTGCATCTTTTTGTTTTCTTTTCTCCTGCTTGTTTGTTGCATACTGAACATCAAATTCCCTGCAGGCATCCTAACCTTGCAATTGGAGAAACAGCGCTCCAGGGTTTTCCACATGTCTAAYACACCTGGATAAAAAGTGCTAACTGTCACCAACTTCCATTAMATGACAGCAGTAAGGCACAAAATATGCTTGATTTGCAGATGCTAGTGCCACTGGGAATTAGCAGCAGATTAATAATTGTGCAGACCTTGAACATTCCCCTGACACTGCCAGCCTGGGTTTCCAGTGCGACATCAGACTACAAGGCCTTTGTTTTTAGGTTGCTTTGCTGAGGAAATCAGACTTAGRCATTTGCACTGTTTCCCTGTGTGTGTTTTACTGTCCCACTTTCCCACAATAACTTCTGGTTAAACTGAACAAATTTTAAAGGAAAAGTAGAGGTTGCAGAGGTAGTGTCTTTAGCAGTTTTGTGAAAAACAGGCAGCTAGGTAGACAYAACCAAGCCTGAGCGTAAGAGTTTCAAATATTCTGACTTTTTAGATTCAGGCAAACAAACGTTAATTCTGTTCAAATGTTGTTGGAGCTGATAGCAGAAGGGAAGTGTGCCATATCACACATTCAACAAGCAGCAACCTTGCATCCAGCCGCCTTTACAGATCAGGTGACAGACAAGGTTCCCAGTTTGTGGTGATTTTTTTCTTTTTACAAACCTATATGCCAAAAAAGTCCTTTTTCACCTTGAGGCTTTGAGTGGGTATCAGGAGTCAGATTCTTGCACAGGTTCAGTCTTGCTCTTTTTTCCTCCATATAAATTCAGGGACCAACACTTTACCTTCTCTCCTCTCTTCTTGCTCTATTGTCTGCTGCTGTTTCCTCTCTACTCGGCGCACATGAGGACACCACCCCTATGGCATGCAAGCTTACTGCAGCTCTGGTGTCATGGCAAAGCTCATTTATGCAGGCAGCAGCATGATTATGGTGAAGGTGAAGGCGAAGTTGAGCAAATCTGTTTCAACACTTCTTTCTTTGTTTCTATCACCATGCCATAGCATTCCTGCAGCCTGGCCTGCTGCTGCTCCAGCTGCCTGTGCAAACTCCTGATGGAGCGCAACAGCAGGAGCCGTCGGTACATAGATAGCTGGAGCCGGTACTTCTCCTTTTCTTCCTTTTTCTTGTTTTCTAAGGTCTCCATTACTTTTGTGCTCTTCATCCAAATCACATGGCCCAAGCTACAGGAGACTGCATTGCCCTTGGAGCTGCTCCCTGCCTGCTGCATGTGGCCATCCCCAGGGTCAGTCCCGGCCTCCCCGGTCACCTTTGGGGCCTGCAGCACCTCTGAGCTCAATTCACCATCACAGGGGGGGCTTGTGGTGGGCAGGGAGGCAATGTCCTCAGGGAGCAGGTCATCAGATACTATAGGGTATGAGGAGACACCTAATGATGCATCTGCAGCTGCCAGAGGATGCTCAGCCAGCCCAGGGGCTGCACTCTGTGCCTGGCCAGCACTGACCATCTCAGGGCCAGCCAGGGCTTTGCCTTGGGCCACTGCCCTGCTGGAGAGGACAGACAGTCTTTCTGGCCCTGCTGAGCTTCTCTTGTCTTCATTAAGGGTGTCTAGCGAAGGGCTGGCAGAGCAACCAGGGGATGCTGTTACAGCATCAGGAGTGAGAAATCGGTCTTCATCCTCACTGCTATTTTGGATCTCCTCTTCATCTCTTGATATCACAGCTGCTGTYTGAGCCATTTAATGCATGAGCTACAGAAACTTTCTGTGGACAAAGTGGAAGTAAAAGGATTTCATTTCCAYATACACACACGGAGAAGCCCAGTTCAGAGTGACATTTGAAGAAAGAATCACTTTTTATATTTAAGCAATGGACCTATTACTTTCCTAATAAAGCACAACCCTTGGGTCACTTCAGGCCATTTCTCGTGATTTGCATTAGATGTTCTTCGAGACACAACATTAATCCAATAATAATTAAAATGATAAACTGTATCATTAACATTCTCAAATCTTTAAAGGCAAGTGATCTATCCCTGCAGCACTGGCTGTGCTGACTAATTAAACAGAATACAGTTGTAAATGGGCATTGTAAGCACTTCTCCCATTTAAGAACACTGCTCTAACAAGTGTAGTTTGTAGAGATGGGTGAGTTATCAGGATTGATCAGCTTTAAAGGGAGGTGGAGGTACCACAAATAGCAGGTTGCATTTAAATGCCCTTTCCAAGATTAATCTGTCTGCTACCAGTTTGTTTACAAGGTTGCCTTCCCCTCTCCTATTAATTCTAGCAGTAAAGCTATATTAGCACCACTCTAGCCAAAGAGAGAAAAAAGAAACCAAACACTTACCGAGGTTACTGGGGGGAAGGAAAACAATTACAGTGCATTGTGTATCATGTTTTCTTGAATGTGAGTCAGCACAATCCGGAACAGAAACATCACGGTGCTTGAGCAGGAGCAGCAACAGCATTACACTGTTCCACCCAGCAACAACACAGTGAGTCCCAATCACAGAGSAGTGCAGGGCTGCTTTCTTCCTCCTCAGTAGGCATTCCTTCCTGACATGCAGCTTTTATGTCATCTTTGAGCACCAAAATGAATACCAGTACTGGATTACACTTCTTTTCCCCACCTCAAAAACAAACATACCTGATTCACCCGTTCTACGGGGGGCAATACCAATGGCCCTTTCCCCCCCGACAGTCAGCAAGGAGACAGCACAGCACCAAAAACAGGGTGAGGCATTCTGGACTCCAGTGTGCATGTTTTCCTTCGGAAAAAAGTAAGTGTACGTAACCTTCAGCTTCATGAGCAAGCTAAAACTAAAAATTAAGCAAGCATTCAGAATCAACCAAATGCTAGACATAAAGATGGGAAGAAGCTGTAGATAGAAGTGTTTAATGTACACCTATGTTTAATGAGGCTGGCTTAATCTTTAAAGAGCAGCACTACATCCAACTAAGGCATCACTCAAAACAATAAACGTTATGTGCACTTCTGATGCTCAGAAAAGCTACCTTCAGCATCTCTTGTTGTAGCGCCAGGAACAAAATTCACAAATAATCTACCTGCATCTATTTCAGTCAATTTACCACAGGGCTTCAGTTGCCCCGAGACTTTCTCTACTCCATTCTGCTAATATAAATAAAAGAAAGAAGCAATCCAAAATGCTATCTAAAATCTTCCTGCAGCTGGAAAAGAATTAAAGTTGATCCTATCTCTATCCTATCTCCACTTCTAAGTGTGCTGCAACATGATAATAATTTCTTTTTTTTTGTTCTGCACTGACTAGCCTTCTTGCTGAATCTGCTAGGATTTGCTTACAAAGTTGAACACACAAAACTTGGTTAATGTTAGTTCAGATTTGTATTCTGAGGTACAACTTGAATGCACTTTTGGTGCAAGAGATAATTTGCACTGAATTTGTAAAATAAACTAAATCTGCTGTATTTGTGTGCCAAATCATGCTGCAGATATATAAATAATMATAGGAAGAGATTCATATCCAGTGAGTTAATATACAGTGCAAGTTTATGTCTTGGTGGTTCCCATTTATCTGAATCACAGGCTATGGTAATTGAAGAATATGGAATTCAGACAACAGGGATTTTACTGTATTAACATATTGAAAAGGTTCATTGTAATAGAACATTATGTAGATAGCCTATTGATTTCAGCTTTTCTCATCTCCAAAGCACTGCAGGCATATGTCCAACTACAAAGGGGCAGGGGATGGGTGCTATGTAGTGTACCTGCTCTCCAGCTCTGTCCATGCTTTTTTATCAGCAATAGCATTCTGTTCTTCACTTCTACCTTTGTCGCAATTTGCTGCAGAATTACTATKTTCTAATRGTCTAACAAAGCATGAAAARAAYGAGKTTTTGTTTCTGGGATTYTTTTGTGGTTTTGGGTTTTTTGTTTKTTTAAGARTCCTGGKTTTTTGTTTGTTTGATTTTTSTCTGATGCTTWAATTTYTTCAGCAAAATTTTATAGTCAGTACTGTTTAAAGAGATAGATAGGGGGACAAAAAACTCATTTTACACACCAAATTAGTGTCAACAAAAATAATAACAAAAGTTTTATGGGTGTGGATCTGGATGGAATAAATARCATCTGATACAATCAACTAAACAATAAAACTCCAATTGAGCTAGATGKCTTTTCATAGAATATTATGASTTCAACTGTAATCYATGAAGCTTAATAGAAAAAAGAATRTTCAGTCCATTTGACTYAGAGAATCAGCAAAACAGAAATACTGTAAAAAATGCATATTTATTATTGCAAAATACAAGTATCCTTTAAGGCTAGGGCTGCAGCTGCATGTATTTTTATTACTACTCTTCCTTCCATTGTCCATGACTTCATAAAATTCTCAGCTAAAGGATCAGAYGGAAAGGTTCTAGATTCTGTTTCTGCCTGAAGGCGAATATATTCTAAACACTTCAGTCAAAAAATAGAGATGCTCCAGCCCAAAAGAGGGAACAAAACCTGTCTTACAGCTGTGAAGACATAAGGAAACATTTCAGCAGAAAGGTCTCTTGTGTAACTGACAGACTGCAGAACAGAGAAAGAGACCACAGCACATTTCAGTGGAAGCATGTACATTCTTGCTCTGAGATGACACAACAATCCTATTCACCCAAGACTGTTACCCTGACAAAGTGACACCTACAGTTTATCATCTCCCTTTTATTTGAAATTTGACAGACCAATAGAGACCTGAAAAGACCTTATRTTAACTTCTTCTTCAAAATACGAGATGTGCTATTTCCCTGGTGCTGAAATAGGAGAGTCTGTTGTTCCTCACGAGAACCTGTCTTAGGCAGGCTCTGCTCAATGCTGCTTGCTCACCCTTGTTCTGTTTGTGGGAAYCTCTCCAGGAAGAAACTGTTTCAGATTTCATGGTGAACACTTAGGTCGGTCCAACACACTGGGAATTTCAGGTAGGTAAAGTGAAAGCCAAGATGCTTTTGGTTAAGGTCCATTGCCTTTCATTACCATCCGCTCACAGGCTGATGCAACTGCAGCAGTGTCAAGGTGTCAATAGACCCTGGGGAGACACCTTCAAGCTGCCAGTCTTGCACACCCCTGAGAGGTCTATGTCAGCAGAGGTTTTTAACCCATCACTCTCTTTCAGGTAATAGCTACAAGAGGTGCCGTGCAACCTACAGGCTCAAAAGGCACATGCTGAAACTCTCTGTGCTTGCAGGCATATGGAATGAATGCTGAGTCATCACAGCAGAGCTTTGTGTGGAAGCAGAAAAGGTACCGTCAAAGGGGAGTCCCTGCAGATAGCCGGGACAGCTATTTCTCCTTTCTCTACCAATTATAATACATGGACAGATGTGAGGACAGGAGRGTACTTGGGCTTGTTATTTCATTAAGTACAAATGTTTTACTGAATTTCAAAGCATAACAGTCAAACATATCTGCAAACAGCATCAAAGGTGATATAAGCATTGGTGAAGATGGGCCTTTAAAAGACCATGGTCTGGTCTGCTATGTTATTTTGTATTTCAGTTTGGGGAGTATTTTTAATGAAGCAGTAAAAAATATCCTATTACACAGTAGTGTAATTACATATTTTATATTAATTGCTCTTGAAGATCAAAAGCCATATTTTGTCTGTTAATGTACACACTCACATGGCATTCTATGAAATCAATGAGATCCACATGTGTGCATCTGAGGCCTAAATTTTTCCCCAAAGATTCTTTAAAATCTTTTTACAGGGCAGTAAGAAAGAAAGAAGAAAGTCATATGTTTCCTTTCTTCTGCCTTCATACCCAAAACAGGCAGGAGTTATTACAGGCTGCTCTGCATTATACCACATGGTAACAGCATCCCAAGAGGCCAGTGGCCAGCCAGGCCTGACATCTTTCTGCTCTCACACTCATCCACACCCAGAAGTTTCTCCAATMCTTTTACAAACAGAGAAATAAGAAATGGAGCCCAGCTCCATGTGAAACCCACCGAGGACATCAATAAATTCTCTACAGGTTCCAGGGGCAGGGGAAAGCATTGCAGGACACCTTCAGGACTTTCAGACAAAAAGAAATTAGGAATATGTGCAGATCTACAGAACAACTGTGTGTTCTGGAAACATTTAAGAGAAGTAGAGAGAATCTATGATTTTGCCAGTGAGGAAAGTTTCAATGACTTTAAACACAAAAATACAGCCATTTGAGCAGACCATCTTTATATTAAGGGTAAAAGACATTGAAACAATCTGCCTCAACTTGTAAAAATTAGCAGGCTTGCTGCCAGTCTCAACAGAGCTGCCTGTCRGAGGTGCAAATCTCTGAAGGGGTAAAGTCATGCTGCCTTCAGAGTAAGTTTGAGTTGAATTTGCAAGYTTTGGGATCTCAAGGCTGCAGTTGCCAAAGTGACCCAAACACTAGGAGGGGCTTGATGACAGCAACTACTGCAATATTTCAGCAACTCTACTCCTAACTCTGTTTGGTCTTAGCTATTCCCAGGGACCCAAAATAAAAAAAATATATTTCTATGGATCTATAAAGATATTTTAGAAGTGAAATGTTCTAATTTTTCCTCAAGGCAGCAGCTGTTCTCCCTATCATCTGTGTAGAAAGCATTCATTTACAATTTCAATCACTKCTCACCAAGTGAAAGAATAACAGCATCATTGTCCAAACCGGCCTAAGTCCACATTCTTACCACAGATCCACAGATCTATGTTTTTTTTCTGAAGCAGCCACAAAGAACTTTCCAAAGTCTTGCTAGGGACTTGGGAAC